AWATTGCAGTTTGATCAATAGAATTGACTCAATAAATTTTTATAGAAAACAATATTTCCAAGCRYTGCATAAATTGACGCGGTGTTCTTTCATTATTCATATTGTAATCAATATCGTTTCTTCGCTATGATTTCCAGAATTGGATCGCAACAACAGTAATACAGGAAAAGAATTCTTGAATAAGGTATTGTATGGCTTAATATTATACACAGTTGAAAGAGGTTCCAAATAATGAAACCTTAATATAAGCCTTATTTAACACATTAGCGTTGTGACCCTGATACTAGTAATATAGTAATAATKCGTGATGAGAAAMACTGTCTGGTACAATGTTGGTCTAAGCAAATTTTGCCACAAGACATGGAATCCAGAAAACTGAATTGGCTCTGGAATTATTCTAATTGGCAATGGAAATGCCATTCAATTAAACAAGAGGAATATGGGGTCCAAATTAGTGACTTATTACAGCACCCTGGATTCTGAATCCAACCAGGTGAAATCCAGTATAATTGCAATTTTCTTTTTTTAATGGAATTTGGAATCCAGGAACTTAGAATGTGGAAATGATCCAGATTTCAAATTACATGTACGTGGCAAGATACATTAAATTACACTGACAAATTGCCACTTAATTATAGCATCACAAATGATTGTATTGTGTTTATAGACAAATTCAAATGCAGAAAAATTTAAGAGCAAAGAATGGAGAGATGCCGTTGCTTTAAAAGCATTTTACACCTCTGAAACCCAAAGGTATTGCTTGTTTATTGACAAGGCTTAATGCATAGCAACTCAAAGATAGCAAAAACCCAATTGATCCCAATGATTGATTTTATGAAAGTGTTTTGCCATTATTAGTTGTATTGTCAGTTTTGAACAGATGATCATATATATATGGGACTAAACAATATTTAATATAACTGAAGGATGGACAGTGTTTACACATGATGCAGTTTCCACCCCTTGAGTAACATAAATGGCAAAACAAACAGCCAAAATACTTGCATACTCAGTGTATTATTTTGTTAATACATGTAGGATGTACAGAGGAGTTGATTGGGCAAATAGCCTTCCACCACCTGTCATACCTCCAACAAGCACGATTGAGTCTAGCCCTGATGTTGTTACAAGGAATRTTCTTGAAAAGAGATATGATGGCAGACCAAGAGTTTGGCAGGTAATAATGCAACATGTTCACTTCAAGACAAAATCTCCACATTATTTATGTTTTTAATCTAATTTTGTTCCATATTTTCAGCAATTAGGAAGCTCACCACAAAGCTGGGATTATGTCCAGTCAAGGAATGGATACTACAGAACAGGAATTGTTAATTTGTAAGGAAGATAAAAATGAGTAATTTTTACTATTTTAAATTCAAAATAACTTTTTACAATTAATGTAATTTACTAATAATGGAATAAAAAGGCTTATAATAATCTTTTTTTGTGAGATTTGCTTATGGCACAGGGCAACATGTGAGATTTGCACTTGCAATGTAGCATGCCAACTCATATCAGAATGTTCCTCTTGCTTTCTTTATCTTACAATGTGTATCATTTATTTTAGTTGCAGTCCTAGTAAAAAGACTGGACAAATTCCAGGATACAGGTAATAAGTGCTGAACAACGCAAAATATTCAGGATTAATATTGTTTAATTATTTATATAATTTCATTATCTAACACCAGAAGGGATTGTTGGTTGGTGTAATTGTTATTTTATTTTATATTTTATCATTTTTTAGTGGATTTACACCTGGTCATGGTGAAAGGGACAACCCCAATGRAAYGTTTACAAAAATAGCATATGTCAGATCACATAAACCAAGATATACAGATACTTCAAAGTAGGTTCATTCAATTATTTACAGTGTGGTGGTGACACAAAGCAGGGCAATGTTTGGGGTTTGGAAGGAAGGGATTGCTGTCACCACTCAGGCTTGATGCATAACATAAAGCAACTCTAATACTACATGTAGTCATTCTCGTAAGCATCTGAGGTTGGGYGTGCAACATCCCTCAATATACAGTATAAAAAATGTAATGCTTCCTGTAAAAAAAACATTGCAAAAATGCCATTGTGAGATCTAAACGCAAATTAAAGTCATGTACAGTTTGTTCTAGAATTTGCAAGTAAAAATCAAAAGACTGTACATTTAGTTTGGAAAAATTTGAGRCACATAATCTCACATTTGTTTGAAAACCATTTTAGGAGGATCAACATTCCAGGCTACACAGGGATTCCATTGTTCCCAGGTGGAGGACCAAATAAAGATACACGTATACAATCTACTACTACCGGCAGGACACACAGGTTGGTGGATATAAAGTTCTGTACAATTTTTAGCATTTTCTCCAAGTCTTGTGTTCAGTTTGTCGAACACTGCTCAGATTTTACTGTCTTAGTTTCAAACAAAATCTTATCTAACGACATAATGGAAAATAATCTTCTCATAATATGGCATCTTGTTTACAGAAAGCTGCAAGTTCCAGCCACTCTTAATTTATCTCCATTCAGACATGAATCACACATGTCAAAAATGGTAACGCTGGTTCATCCATACAATCCATTTAATAAAGTTGCATGAAAAAGGGTTTGTATGTTTCCATGAAAACTGTTCACTTATATAGGTTCTTCATCTCATTCAATCAAAGTTGCCTATGGCATTTTTACCCTCCATAGAGATAAAGAACTTGTATTTTTGAATGTTTGTTCATGGAACCATTCAGTCTGAAATTCTTGAGTGGTTTGAGAGTCCAACAAACTATTGTTATTATTTAAATATTGTACATACYATGGTTTTTCAATTCCTCAAAAAATTGTGAAGTGTTTCCATTAAAAGTTATTTTTAAAGATAAATAAAAATATGTGTATAAAAATTGCTTGACAGAAGATGTTGATTTTTTTGTCTTTGACAATTATTATTTGAACTGAATTATCTATTGTATCTACATAACAGTTTGAATCATATTCCAATGTCGAGGTCATTAGGCCAATATTCTAACCAAAGTGGCATACCTTTGCTCAGGGYTCAAAATAAGTTAAAAGACAATGACCCTACTTACAATCATGTATTTCTCACTGAACTGATGGCCAAATAAGAATTTAATAAAGTCTTTTTGGTGATTCTGAGATGTCTTGTATGAATAGAGCAGAGTCACATGAACCATGAAATAAAAACTAAAAAGTACTAACTAATAGGCACTATTAGTTCCTAATAGTCGTTAGCACTGAACCAGAACAGTTTATTTTATCCAATAAGCAATACCCAAGAGAACACTATAACAATCAAAGTAATCTCTTTGTACTGTTCTGGTTCAGTGATAGAGTGAAGGCATTGATCCTGTGAAATAAAAGTTAATAATTAAACTGTAATAGTCAAATAGACACAAAAGAAAACAATGGAATTATCGAGTAATAACATGTAATAGTCAAATATGTATTTCACGGGTTCATTGACTTCACTCTAGTGTCTAAATAGTGCCTATTAGTTACTAAGTATTTAGTTTCTATTTCATGGTTCAAGTGACTCTGCTCTAAGTAATCATACTTTGACCTTACAAAAATTGGTAATGACTTGTCAGAAATGTATTTGAATGGTGAGCTTCATAATGTCTGGCCATTATTCCGAGTCCTGCATAGCATATTACTAACTGTCCCATGCAGTGCTAGATATATTGTGATCCACTGGTCGTGTTCACTAATAAATTAGCAAACAAGTTATTCTAAGGTTAACATGGTGTATACATGTACTATTGGTTTATATGTTTCCAATCACCTATCATTTTTTATGAAAGGAACAGGTAGCCTACACCATTTCCTTTGAAATTAAACTAATGTATTCGCCTTGCCCAAAGGACTAAAAAGCCTCCTTGTGTGCAGTGCAACCTCAGTTGCACTCAATGTGCCAGCTAGTTTTGATTCCAACATCAAGCTCAACAAACAAAATGAAACATAACAGAACATCATGTACACTGATGTTTGCAAATTTCTAAAAACTTGAAAAAAAATCTGCAACCACCTTGATCAGTATAGTGACATAATCTATCTTAGTTTAGTTCTCTTCAATGTAGATTATGACAAGTACATGCCATTCATTTCACTATGTAATACTTCACATATTGTCCAATGCAATAGTGACTAGTTCTATTTTTACATATTAAATACAAGCAACTGTCTGTATGTTATATTATACACATAATAGAATGAAAATAGGTATTACGTACTTATATAATTATTGTATTTCTAACTTTTAAAAAGTAGTAATAACAACATTATATATTGACAAAAAGACATACATTTAGTTAAAAGCTTGAAGTGTTGGCCACAGGCACATAATAAGTACATTATACAATAAAGTAGTCATGAACTGTTGTTGTTGTCCCCAACASAATATTCCTACCACAGTATCCCAGTGGCATATCCTGCTCCACCATCCAYCCTAAAATTTTGCGTAAAGTACTGGTAACGTTTACTCTCATGGATTTCTTGTATATTCAAGATTCCGCATTTTCATTTTCACTAGTTGAGTCCTCATCAGTGGCACCATTAGAATTTTGCTTTGATTTGCTTTCTAACTTTTGCTTGATAATCTCTAGTCGTTTTTGTATGCTTGCAAAGTCATAAGATCCTCTCTTCTCCCCGAATGGATCCTTTGAAGAAGGAATGAATGGAATGGTTAAAGAAAGACAGSTAAAATAAAAGACAGTGTTCAATATAAAATTTATTAATATCCTTAATTATTGTGAGCTCAAATTGTGTTGACATTTAACCAAAGCATGTCCTGTAAAAATGGCACCAAATTTGAATTTTTTTCTACTTTCAAATTGTCAGGCCAGCTGATTCACTTAGACGGCAAAGTTGGCTCTTTGACTTGGACGACAACATTGTCTGGTTTCCTAATTGACGTTTAAGTGTCTACCTAACTGACTTTAGTCAATAAGATGACTTGTCTGGCCAGCTGTTTGACTTAGACGGAAAAGTGTCTGGGTTTTGGTCGATTTAGATGGCAAAAAGTGCCTCTAACAGTTCGACTTAGACAAAAAAGTGTTTGTTTAACTTACGTACTTTAGACGAAAGTATTTGGCTAACTGACGTGTGATTTTGTTGTCTGGCTAACTGTGCAGTTTTGACGGCAAAATGACTGATTAACTGATTGACCTACAATTCAGYGTCATGACAAATTGCCATTAATTTGCACTTTTATTTAGAGCTATTTCATTAAATAGAACTACCGGTAACTAGTACCCAGGAAATTATTCCGGAACGAGTGRAAAACAGACTTTGYGAAAGTGTRAGGCAAAAGTTGTGGCGTTAAATTGTTAAATCCGCCTGAAGATATCCATATTGTTTACAATTTTGTCAAAAGTTGTATATTATTGATTTCATGGCTATGTTGCTATGGTAACTAACCTGCATATTTTGCCCATTTAAATAAGACTTTTCACTTATAACAGACATGTAGTAGTCATAAAACTCTGGAAAAGACTTTTCCATAACGTCCCTAAAATTAAGAATGAAATGTATAATAAATTGATCATAATAATTTAATAGATTAGAAGATTGAGCACTAACTTTAATGCTGCTGGGCAAGATGGCTTGCCTTCCAACATGTCTGATACAGCAACACGTAGGGTTTCATGTTGAATGCATTCRTTATAACGCTTGCAATCTCCAGCTTGCCGTTCCTTTGGAATACAAGTCAAGCATCAAAACATTTAAATRATCCTTTTAAGATTAAAAAACAAACTTGAAACAAAAAATGACCATCCCCAGTCAAAATAACAGACTTCAATCTGCCCTCAAATGTTTTAATCAATAAATCACACATTGCTTATTAGTAAAACCAATTGGACATTACCTGCTCAAAACCTGGCTCATTGTGATATGGATTTTCATTCAGTAAAGATTGAATTGATATCAGTACACTTGATAATGACTGTGCTGGACTCCAGGCTGGTCCTGACCACGTCCTGTCAAATAAATGCGGAATAAAATTTAAATTTAATTAAAATTAAATAATAAGATARTGAACAGAATGGATGAAGCTGAAAAAAAAAACTGGGGGCCGGAGTGGAGTTCTAGTTTGCTCTTCCTTCCCACTTACCCTATAATACTAAGACAAACTTTTCCATTTCTGTAAAGATTTGGATTAAATCGAACTTGTCCCCCACCAGTAGTCATAAGTTTCACCCTTGGAGGTCTGATGGGATAGTCAGGTGGACAGCGAATCAAGAAGTAGTAAAAACCACCCTCGTATGGTGTGTCAAATGGACCAGTTATCAATGCGTGAATCTATGAAAGATACATTTGATCAATAATAACCACAGGAGTTATGCCTGTTGAATTTAGGAGTTTTTAAGGAGTTTACTTATTGCAAGTGTTGGTCATCTTAACATTGGCCAAAGTTAAGCGTAAAGGATGGGATAAAGAAGGTGGTTAAGGCACTAATTAATAAAGCACAACCAGAGAGACATACTTCATTTACTATCATTTTAATAACATTTCCCATATCATGAGGTTTACTTAAGATTTCTATAGATAGTTGCCCAGATAGTTTGTGGAAATATTCAGATTAAAAAAGTATGCAAGTTTCGTGTGAACTGAATCCAAACTAAACARTAAAACAAATTAACAAATTTATAAGAAAAATTTCTTTGTTATAATTCCCAAATCTTTCAATTAATATTTATCCAATAAAATCAAACCAATGTCTAACCATCGGGATGAAGCGGGCAATGCTATCCTTAAATACTTCCCTTACTTTAATAATGAAAGTTGCCAACYATTTTGCATGGGAGTGCACCCCTTAATTGAAAAACCTGCACCCTCCCTAATCCTTGACATGCCCATGRTAACAGTCTTTGTTAAGATCATACAGCTGCTAACACAAATTATTATTTTGCACCATAGTGTTTGCACATGTAATCAACCATTATTTACTATTAGAGACAGTGGATATATAATAGTACCACAATTATATTGATTGACAGCTAACCTTGGTCATATCATCTTTATCAGGAACTATGCACATCCCAGGTGGTGGTTCATTGTAGATACTCATTATATCTCTATTAAAAATCAAACCAGTGATTGTGATTGCATTATAGATAATCAATAYATGTAGAATTACGCATTTAAATAGCTCAATTGTCTCTTACTCGTCATTAAGAACAGAAAAGTAAATGGCAAAAGGCGTTTGTGGGCTATTGTATGCCATGTACTGTCGATAACCCATTTATACAATGATGGGTTTCAATGACCATAGCTTAGTTGTGACTTTATATTGGATATTAAGTATAACTCATTTTCTAGTTGAACAGTTCAYATGCACAAAAGAATTGAGGATCAAGGCTCCAGGAAAAGAAATCAATTATCTATTCCCCTGAGTCTTCCTTGTTAGTTTGTGTGTTGTCAGTAAACTGAAATATTGAATGTGGGTTATTGCCATGACTACTAGTATGGTAGTCCATCCTATCATAAGCAATTTTGCAATGTAATAATCTATAATATGCTGCATTTACAAGTGAAGAATCAAAAAGAACAGCTTGTCAGACTGTTTATGTGAAATTGCACCCAGGATTCATAATGTCCAATGAAAATTCTTTTTCTAGACAATATCATCAAAAATTTATTCAGACATTTTGATCTTCTATCATAGACCATCATCAGTGCTAAATATTTCCGGTTTCTTTAGTAAACATTTATTACTGATGAAGTTCTGCGATAACTGAGACGTCTGAATACAATTTTTGATTAAATACATCTAAGAGAGAGATCTTCAGAATTTTATTTCCATGCCAGTCTGTTGTTTAGTTAATAATAAATGAAGCAAAAGTGTCAGTCCCAACCTCCCACACAGTACACCAGGCAATTACAGAGATGATATATATATCTTGATAAAGCCCCCACAATATATCTTGATAAATTTGAATATAGCTATACAATGGCTAAGGCAACATACTAATGTAAGACCTCTGTGATTACACCCTGAGAAATGCCATATTTTGCATAATTTATTTTAACAACACAATGAAATGGCATTTTCAACAAAACATCAAAGCTTCTTTTTATTTAAGTGATTATTAAACAATACATTCCCATTTTCTAATAAACAGGTGAAACATGCAATTTTAAATGAGATATATGAGTTTCATAATCACATAGGTTGACTTTGTAAATTAATATTAATACCTTAATAATAACTAACAAAAACAAAATAAACTGGATTTTAAAGTAAGATTTAACAACCCCGTTTTATATTCATGTTCTTGTCACTTCAGTTTGATATGGACAGCTGGCTAAAATTTTAATTTTATAAGACTTAAGCTTGGATTATATTATATTTTGAGGACCAAACACGTTGAAGATYGRACATAAAACAGTACACCTCCAGCAGTTAAATTCGATCAACAACTATTCTACTTTTACTTCGTGGAAATGACGTTTCCATGGCAGTYAGGTTTGTGCCACACAAACTTGAAAAGAAAGTTTGAGTGAAAGACCTCGACATTTTAATGCAGACTTGGAATTAACACGATATTATTCCTCGAGCGATATATTTTAATTTCACCAAAACACATCCGTTTTACCAAAATATTCTTTAGCACTTTAATATCAACCACAACATAAATTAAATTGATTAACGTCAGACTCGAGTCTATTTATTTTTTCRATATTCAGCATAAAAATGTAAGGCTTCAATGGGTTAGTTTAGCTACAAATAAATAGCAAATTGGGGTAAAAACCTACCTTTTGATTCTTAATATACATTGTGGGGTTACTGTCTCTTTATCCCAGTCTTTTGAGTGCAGTGGATCCCACATAGCATTAGAACTAGACGAGAGAAATTCAGATTCTTCGTCCGCCATCTTAATTTTGAAGTTTACTAATATTGACATGCGTAGTGTGATGAATGTCGGAAACATGACTGATGTGACGTCATGGGAGCTATTTATAAACAAATAGATAAATAAAGATAAGCAAAAATAAGAAAAAATAAGAAAAAATAAATGAAAAATAAACAAATAGTTCATAATTGCAATAATAGTATTCTATAAAATTGCATGTCCATTTTTTTAGTTCTTTTATATTAGACTGTCTTTCTCAAAGTGATTACTTTCAAAGACTTCACAATGACGTGTAGCTCTTTCCACTTGGCTCAAACAAATCAATGTCGCTCCTTCTTATTCGTTTTAAAATCAATACATTTTAAACTTTTGACCATTATCATCATTGCTACCAAGGAATTGAGTGGGTAAATCTGTGTTTACTGTAGAGCGTGACATTTTGTCTGAAAYCATCCAATCAGATAGTGTTATTTAGTCGGTCCGCACTCCAGTGACTTCACGTTATAATACATAATTTCATTAACATACTATTGGACTTTGCAAGAAAAGAGCACRACAAAAAGAAGATCTGTGAGCATATTAAGTGCTTCCTTACTGAAACAGAAGACTGTCGAGGTGATAATGATGATTTGAGGTAAGTTTGAAAACTAGATTTTGCATCCACAGACGGGACTGACATATATTCGGCATGATATTGTAGCGCGCTTTTTTTTWAAATTTGTGTCAGTTTTGTAACTGAGCATAAAAAATACATTCAACACAAATGCAACGTGTTTAGGTAATAGCTAGAAGCTGTTTGCTAGTTCCTCGTGTAGGTTTTAAAGTTTTGAGAGCATTGTTCGAAAGCCAAAGGAAAACGTGGTTCAGTAAATTTTCATTCGGTTATAGTTSGCGCCAACAACAATGTGTTCAAGTAGTACAGTCAGACACTATAGATTTTCGCAAAACATTTGTCGAGCTGGACTCATTGCCAGGAGAATCAAGCTGAATTTAGAAATATTTTGCGATCGATGAAAAATAGCGCAATACAGGAATGTCAATAAAGCGCTTTTAAGTTAGTTTACATAATTATGATAAATTATGGAAATGGTCCTCGTCGATMCTTCGGCTTCCACCGCAAATGCTAGATACTAGAGTTTAGTATATTCTTAGATTATCAAACTTTCTCCAGACATGTTCATAGTATGTTTTGGTATATTTATAAAACTAGTGAGTGCTTGGAAATTGCGAGAATSAGGGGGTTTAAAGCTCGAGTATTTGGTGTTTATTTAGTGGAAAATGTTGTAGACTTTTAGACTTATGTTTGTTTTGCGTGACACATGCATGGTGGATATAGCGACACATCGACGTAACGTAACATAACATAACATAACATTTTCCCAAGGGTACAAGGGTCCCTTTTTATTATAAAATACTAAGCCCCAGAACCTAGTAATTGATTAAAATAAATTGTAATCATGTGTAATTGGTTCATTGGTGTATTTATTTACATCTTTCTTTCTGATGAGCTTCTGTTTTTATTTATTTCTTACAATAGTCTTATATTTTATAATAGCATATTTATTTATATCCACTCAGTCAATATTTGTATATTTGTTATAAAAACCAAA